CTTTCTGCTTTCCTTTTGTTTCTTTCCCCCCACTTGTTCATTCCCTACTTCTTGGCATCCTTTTTCATTCGTCTATCAACAAGAATTTTCCCCTTTCCAGCCTTGACTTGGATGTCCTTCTTTACTACCACATATTCCTTCTTAGGTTTTTAGGTATTGCCTTCTTATAAAGCTGTTCGATCATTTTTCTCTTCGAACAGTCTGATATTTCTGTATGATCCAATATAGATTTCGCATTTTCACGTACCTTTCTTGCTATCGTTTGTACCACCTTCTTTGCTGGCTGAGCATCAAATTCTTTGAACTTTGCTCTCATTACAGCAATCTCCTCTTTTGTCACAGGCTTGATTGGCTGGTAATGCCTCTTTTCGTCATCAACAAACCACTTCGGAAATAATCCCTCATCATGGAACATATATTTGTTGTACGCATCATCAAGAATCGGTTCCCTCTACTTTTCATCAGCAATGTTTTTTTGCACAAGCCAATATCTCTGCTTTTGAACCAATGTCGTCTTCATCTGAGTCGTCTGATGAATCACTAGAATCTATATGTGGAGCAGGAACTATCTCAAAATTGTCATCCACATTGGAACTTTTACTGTAGGTAATTTGCTCGTCTTTCTTGAACCCTTGAATTTTGTTGGTGAATCTTCAATTGTCTTCTCCTGAATTGTGGGATGTTCGACTTGAATATCCATCTGCATTTCATCTTCACTATCATCTTTCTCCAAATTCTCTCTTTCATCGGTGTCCATAAAGACATCTTGACTGAACCATTTTGCTGCAATCTCCTCTTGACTTGGTGTATTCTCCAAGGGTGGTACCACAAGCGGATTCACCTCACCATCTCCATCATTATCGGAGTCTCGATCAGAATGAACCATATTATGTCATCGTCATCCTGTCTAAACCATAAAGAAAAATACCCATTTAGCAAAGAAGTGCATTTTCTGAAAAAAAAAAAATTAAACTCATTCATTCTTTTTTAGGGCATATTTGATGGAAGAGGAGAAAATGTAGTTTACCTCCAAGAGTTGATCACCCTCGGAATAGGCTTGTTTTGTACGCTTTCTCTGCTTTGTACTTTCTTTCTGTATAGCTACAAGTCTTTCGTAGGCTTCGTCGAGTAACTCTTGTAGTTGCTCACCATACCTAAATGTAGAATAATGTTAGCTTATAAAAGCATCGAGAACATACAATTTAAGAGGAAACAACTACCGCTGATGTTCTTCATCAATGTCTGTGTCCCCTTGGGCTTCCTTAAGGCCTCCTTCGCTGTCACTACTTCCAATTTCATCATTTTCACAATCATATTCATCATTATCAACAGCCACAAGTTCTTTCTTCCCCTAAATGAAAGCATTCCAAAGAAAGAATAATATTACAGGTGTACACCAAGCACATACTAGATTTCGTGTAAAACTCACAAAAAGTACACAATTGGATGCCTGTACAAAACTAGAGATTACCGGCAATAAGGGAACAACAAACCTAGAGGAAAAGATGGGGTGATAATATACAGGACAACCCAACAAGAATTAGGAATAAGTTTTGTATATAGCATAGGTATAAATGTTCAAAGGATGTGGGAATTGAACCATAGAAAAATTCATCAAAGCCTGATGGGTAGACATATATGCTAGGAGACAATATTGCCATCTGAAATCATCCAACAACCAATTCAGACTTAAAAGTCTTAATATAATGCATCAAGAATGTAAAGTTCTACTATAAACCTAATCTAGGAATAGACCCCAAGTCTCAAAAATTCTCGTGATACTTATCCAACATGGTGGTTAAAATCCCAGCCTTGATACACATTTCTAAGTCTTATATTATTAGTTGCAAAATTGTTACTAGATCAGCTAATTTGGTTACACCTAAAATTTAGAAGCTTTGTTCCACACATCACTGACAATATATTTCAGTAGCACCCAACTTTCACTATGCTATGCCCTCTAAACCAGCAAATAATCTAGCATGGTAGAAAGCCTACAGTGATAAAACAAGCATGATGGCTATTCCCCATCGCTTGATACAAAATCATACAAAAATGTATTCTAGTATCATCAACTCATTCACCTGCCTTCTTAATTAAATGTTAACTGACAATAGCTTCAAAGAACCAAGTCAATAGGTTAAACTAATCCACGTTAGCTTAATCTTATATGTTGACTATGTATCTTAAGAAAAGAACCTAATAAAGCAAAAAGGGATTCATGAACATGGGCAATAACCTTAGCTTGTCTCTTTGCTAGAAGTTTCTTTGCCTTTTTCTTCTTCTATGGCATTCGTCAGCTCCTTTATTTCATTAAGTATCCTATCATCTTTATCTTCCTTACCCTCCCGTTCCATAGCCGTCGTAGCAGAAGTAGCATAGTCTTCTTTGTAGGAGACAATGCCTTCCTTATTTGCATACGCCATCTACACCACAACACAAACATTGAAGGCACAAAATCATTCAAGAGAAACACAGAATCACCAAATATGGTAAACAGTTTTCCGTGTATGGTTGGTTCATTGTATGTTACATTATGTACAAGTTTACTTTAAAATATGCTTGAAGTCTTGCTTCCCAATGACACGAAGATCATCGCATTGAGATATAACCAGTCCCACATTTGAAGGAAAAAGAGGTTTAATTGGCCAGAGAACAAGATAGTGAAGCTGGCAGATTATCTATGTTTACTAACGACGTTGATGATTATGACTTTGCTCGAATATGAATTAAATGAAAAAAGAAAAGAGTAAAACCACACCTCTTCGGTTGTCAAAGTATTATCCTTGATTGGCAACCATGCAGGATCTTCAAAGGGAACATGGGTGTATATTATAGCACTTGTTCTCAACTTTTTGAAACAAAAATTATATTTAATCTTTAATTAATTTAGCACATCTTAACTTTAATGACGCTTTCTGTCCAAATATTCTGTTAGCGTGGAAAAAATCTTTTGTCGAACTTTTAAAAATGTTGAGGACATAAGTGCGACAATGAACAAAAGTTAATTAAGGACCCTCATTGTAATTGATTTGTAGTATAATAAACAAAAACTGGAATATAATTTTACCTTCAAGTATACGCCATTACTAAGTGTGTCCATTAATTAATGTATGCACAAAATTCCCATATATGTGCTGCTATATAGCTTCGTTTGGCAAAATTTATTATCATTTATAAATGATCAAAATACATTTTAACATACATTGCAATATACTTACAAGTATTATCTATTTATCCATCACTCATTTTTATATGTTTATAAATTCTTCCACCAAGCAGTGGCTAAGTTTGTCCAAACAGTGGCCAAGTTTGTACTTCAGATATAATTTTTACTATCGTCATCCACATTGGAAACTTTTAATGTCGACAATTTACTTGTCTTTTTTGAACCCTTGAGTTTTTTTTTGGTGAATCTTCAATTGTCTTCTCCTGAATTGTGGGATGTTCAACTTGAATGTCCATCTGCATTTCATCTTCACTATCATCATTCTCCAAATTCTCTCTTTCATCGGCGTCCATAAAGACATCTTGGTTGACCCATTTTGCTACAATCTCCTCTTGACTCGATGCATTCTCCAAGGGTGGTACCACAAGCGAATTCACCTCACCATCTCCATCATTATCGGAGTCTCGATCAGAATGAACCATGTTATGTCATCTTCGTCCTGTCTAAACCATAAAGAAAAATACCCATTTAGCAAAGAAGTACATTTTTTGAAAACAAAATTAACCTCATTCATTCTTTTTAGGGCATATTTGATGGGAGAGGAGAAAATGTAGCTTACCTCCAAGAGTTGATCGCCCTCGAAATAGGCTTGTTTTGTACGCTTTCTCTACTTCGTACTTTCTTCCTGTGTAGCTACAAATCTTTCGTAGGCTTCGTTGAGTAACTCCTGCAGTTGCTCACCATACCTAAACTTAAAATAATGTTAGCTTATAAAAGCATCGAGAACATACCACACTCTACAATCTTACATACAATTTAAGAGGAAACAACTACCGCTGGTGTTCTTTGTAACACCCCGAAAATTTATAGAAAATTTTATTTGTACTATATGCTACATTTTGGAAAGTCAGGGACTAAAGTGATATAAGTGATAATTCAATTTTATTTGGGTCAATATTATATTTCAATAGAGCAAAAAATAAATATGTCAATATTATACTCTTTGGATAGCTCGTGATTAATTGCTTATATTAGACTCGAGAAATAATCGATTCGGATAAGTAAGCTCCAAGATATGTAGTTTGAAGAAGTTGAGGAAAAACTAGATTTATATTTTAAAAGTGTCAGCCACGTGTCATGTGTATGTGGTGTTTATTTTGATTTTGAATTGTTTGGGTTTGGTATGCACATGTTGGTTAAGAGAGGTAAGGTAGTTTTGATTTAAAAAGATTTGTTTGCTTTGATTTTGGAGTGTGATAGGAATATGTGTCAATTGATTGCACTTAAATATTATTTAATTGCTTTGAAATTGGGATTTTTGTTATGGAAGTCCACCTGTCCTATTTTGATTTGACCTGCCATGTTTCC